CCATTCCCAGGGAGATCCCTTTTTTCGTTTGAAACGGCGAATCAGAGCCCAGGATCTGCTCCATGCTGCTGCTGCTGCTGCGGGGCGCGGGAGAGACCACGCTACGAGAGGAGAGGTCTCGCTGCCGCCCGCTTCCCTTTCTCTGTCTAAAACAAGGGCCATCTGGCCAGGCGAGCGGGGGATGGGGCTGAACCTGGCCGGCTGTCCGTCCATCCCGGAGCGCGCACGCCCTCCACCCCAGGGCTTGGACGGCGGCGCCCGCACGCTGCGCTCCCTCCAGGATCGCCTTCCCTCCCCGGGCTCAGCGGCTCCAAAGCGGCCGCCGGCCTCGCCACAGGTCTCCGAGGAGAGCGGCCGCGCGCCCCGGGCGGGCCTCGGGCTCTCCAAGCGCGGCGCTTCTCGCCAGCCAGGTGCCGCACTGGAGAGCTGCGCCCCCGGATCGCGCCTCCTTTGCCGCCAGGGCCCCGCTTGGTTGCCCGGCAGGATCCCACTTGCCCTCGATGCGGAGACAATAAACAGCCCCTCCTCCTCGCGATCGCGGCTCACCCACCTCCTCCACCTCCTCCGGCAGGCGCCCGGCGTCTCCGTCGGCTCAAGGCGCGCCCGGTGCGCGCATCGCCGTCTCCCGTCCGCTTCTCCAGCGTCAGCATCACAGGTGGCGCCGGGGCGAACCCAGGCGGGCGAGCAGTGGGCAGCCTCTTCCTCCTCGCCGCCACCGCCGCCTCCACCCGTCGATGGAGGAGCAGCACCAGCGGCCCCGGCTGCGGAATCGGCTGCCCAGCCCCGGCTTGGCTTGCCGAAAAGCCCCCGCCTTCAGCCCCGATGCTGGATCAGTCATTGGGCGCCTTCCCCGCCATTCACGCGCAGCCGCTGGGGGAGCCCGATGCGCACGAGGTCCCTGCTGTCGGGGGTGGGTGGCGAGGAAGGGGACGCGACGCTTCCAGGGAGCGGGGCCGGCTCTGAGCTCAGCCAGGGAAGGGGTGGGTCTTGTCCCAAAGGAAGACGCATTTTCCTCGTCGGGGGCAGCCCTGAAGTCGCGCAAGACCGACCAGGGCCTTCTCAAGGCGCGCTTTGCGCCTAACTGGGAGGGTCGTCTGAAGATGTGAAAGATTCTGCGCATGTGACATCGGAGATGCCAAAGTATGGTCAAAAGAGAGGTCTCCCCACCCTTGGGTAGGGGGCTGCAGTGCGAATTCTGCTTTGCTTCCAGCGTTGGAGGCAGGAATGCTTCATAGACTCATAGAACTGTAGAGTTGGAAGGAACCCCAAGGTTCATCTAGTCCAACCCCCTGCAAGGCAGGAATCTCAGCTAAAGCATCCATGACAGGTGGCCATCCAGCCTCTACTTAAAAACCTCCAAGGAGAGCCCACCACCTTCTGCTAGAGACTGTTCCACTGTCAAACAGCTCTTACTGTAAGAAAGTTCTTCTTGAGGTTTAGTTGGAATGTCCAACTAAACCTCCAGAACAGGAGAGAGCAAGCTTGCTCCATCTTACATGTGACAGCCCTTGAGATGGCGATCATATCTCCTCTCACTCTCTTTTCCAGGCTAAACATACCCACTTCCTTCAACCGTTCCTCATAAGGCTTGGCTTCTGAAGACTTGCTGGAAATCACATTCCTATTTATAGGACAACATCTGGAATGCAGCATCCCTGCTGTGGAGCCACTGCCAATCACCCCCAGAGTAGCCAATACTGAGCTAGATTTGCCAGTGACCTGACTCTATAAGACATTGGCAGTGGTGGACCTTGCTGTCTGATATTTCAGCAGTGCCCTGTGAAGCATTAAAATTTGCCCCCCCCCCTTGTGCCTCTTGTGCTCTATTCCACAAAATAGTTGCAGCGTCTATGGTGGCTCCCAAGGTTCCGCGTACGATCAAACCAGTCTTGCTCCCCTAAATCTGCTTCTGACACTGACCAGCTTTTTATGCTCTTATGAAGAGAAACCAAAGTGGATTAAGACCCAAAGGAAGTGGTCTTTCTATTTCAGCCTCTAACTGTTCTGCAGAACATCACATGTGACTCTTGTTTCTGCAAACATGTAAAGCATGTAGCTTCCCCACCCCCCAAATAATCATGGGAATTGTAGTTTACCCCCAGGGCTACAATTCCCATACCCTGTACAGACAACACTTCCCAGGATTCTTTGGGGGGGAGTCATGTGTTTTAAATGGATCGTATGTACACAGCCGCAAGTGCACATTTATGTTCTCAATGCTTATAAGTTAAATATTGATCCTGCAACCCACCACCTCTCTTTGCCTGTACCCCACAACATCCATAGTGCCAGGGCAATATCCTGTCCTTGCTCTAGATAGCTGGCTCTACATCAAACCACATTAGATATGCTGACCCTACATCAAACCATGATGGATGTGGAAGTATGGAAGGTTTTACTTCCTCACCAGCAGCAAACAAAATCTTTTAAAAGGTGGCACTTTTCATATTGTAAAAACTCAGGGCACATCCACACTTCCATTTGCCCTGCCACTTTGCCTGTGAAAACCTGCAGTTTAGTGCTGAATAAGAACAAACAGCAACTGGGTTTTCCATGAATTGATGTTTGTGCCGATTTAGCACTAAAGAGCAGTTTTTCCAAGGGAAAGCAGTGGAGCAAAAGCAAAACCCCTCGGACTTGTCTAGGCATGGGACAAGTGGAAGTGTTGACAATCTCTCCGTGCAATTCCCTGGAATAAATAGAAAGGCAGCAGTTTACAGAAAGCAACACATAACGGATCTTTGGAACTTCTGTCCAGTGATGCTGAGAAGGCAGGTAGCAGAAACAACTTTACAAAGAATTAAAGTGGAATTTACGTTTCTGTACATTTCAGTCACCCTCTGCTGCCAGAATGCTCTCCACTGCTTCAAATGTGATAAAATCCACAGAAGCTTGTGCCATTATAAATGGTTCTTAAGGTGTTGCAGGACTCTGTTGGTTTTGGCTTTAAACTTTCTCTTCTTCATCTGCAACATTCACACTTGGGGCAAAAGGAGGAGAAACGCACAAGCCTGCTTTTTAGTGTGAGGTGTGAAAAAACTGTCTTTGCTGAATTGATGGATGAGTACTAGCCACAATAGTGCAATATCCATGTTCCTAGACACAGGATTACTGATTTCTAGACACTGGGGACTAACAGCAAGGGATGTCTATTGCCTTAAGTTGGTGTCTTGTTAATGAGCATCCCTGGAGCTAGCTGCTCGGGAAGACAAGATGCTGAGCCGGGTGGGGGGTGGGGCTGACCCATTCATTTTACCCAGCGGGAGGATTAAACTTCCTTTCTTGGTTTTGTTGGGAATCCATCTTTCAAGGTTTCATGATATGTTAAGCTTCTATCTTAACATGTTACTTTAAATGCATGTCTTAATCCCATGCTAGTTTGTTGTTACCCATCCATACTGGGACGAGTTTAACCCTCCCTCCCCTTTAAAGCTTCAGAAAGGGACTAGATTATCAGTTTTTGTCCCTTTCCTATACTGTATTGCAATTTTGTACCATGTCTTTGTTTTATTTATGGCCAGGCAAATTTACTACTTCAAAAAGCCAAAAGCAAACCCTAATAAAATGAAGTGCTCAAACTGTCTACAAAATCAGGCTTTCCCCCCATTCTATAACTATCTATTCCACAAAGAAGCAATTTCAGCAAAAATCTGATGAAGACGTATTTCAACATAAACAATCCTATAGAGCAAGTAAGGTCCTACTCCCCATTGGACATCTTTGCTAGGCTGTCACCCTGTGATGAAAGTGTGGATCTTTAATGAAACATGTTATGCCAATTAAGAACCTTCCATGCCCATATATGTAATTGAGAGTTAATTCAAAAGCATCAACCTCTACCTGCTCAACTAGCCTAAGCAAGCACTACACCCACAGCCCATGTCAAGAGATTCCAAAGAATGTTTGGCATTCATTTTACCTTTACCGCCTTGGCAACTTCCCAAGCAGCAAGTTTAATATACTCAATTTGTTATTTCAGGCTTAATGAAGAAAGACCCTAAAAGCACAAGACTTTAAAAAGAGAGCATCTGCAATCATTGTGGCAAAAATTGTCCTGCTGTTGCAGGGAGTTCATACATAACTTCTGTGATGGGTGTGCCCATTTTGAAAATCTTCATAATGATATCTATGGCTAGTATAAGAGAAAACGGAATATAAGCAACTGCCAAGAACGGGAAACAGTTTGCTAGTTGGGCTTTTCTGTTACTACATCCACTTGTTGTGGGCAGAATTTCTTGCCCTAGGCTCATCACCAGGGACAGCCCACCAAGAAGACAAAGTGAGGTGATCACCTCAAGCAGCAGGATTCACAGGGGCAGCAGATCCCGATGTAGATCTTTATTGTTCCCTTGTTCCTTCTTCTTCTTTCCAGCAGGGAGGGGCACCATTTGGTGGCATGCTTGGGCCACCACTGCTCACCACCATCACTTACCAGTTGGCACAGGTGCACTGCGGCATTTTGATATTTCTTTCCTTTTCACATTGTAGTGAATCATTTTAAGTTCTCCATAATTCAAAAGCACCAGCAATCCAGTAGTTGCAGAAAACTATGCAACTATGCACAATTACTATGTTTTACTGGTGCAAGCAGGGATGCGCAAAGACGCTTGTGTCCTAGCATACAGATATTCCAAGGAAAAACCTCTTTTATATCACAGAGGCATGGATAGGATTATCAGAATAGGGATAACTCTTTCACAAAAGCATGCAGGTTCTGCATTTTAGTTGCAGCACAGAAGAAAGGGGAAAGTAAATTACTTATTCAGAAAAATATATAACACAGCTGAGCCTTAATGTGTCGAAAAGTAGGCCACGCCTTGACGGGGGAAGGCCTGCATGTTGCCAACACTAGACCATTGCATTCCCCTAGTCACCTTCTGCCTAACTCTATCTTCAGGTCTTTCAAAAGGATTTTCCAGAAACATAAATTGTCTTCCTTATCCAAGAATGTCCTGCACACACCTGACCTTACCCAACTCCCAAAAAGAAGAGGCCATTCGTTTTCTTCCTTAAGATAATATTTAATGAGCCAATATTCTTCTGAGTGGGGCACTGATGTGAAGGGGAGAACAGCCTGGCTCTAATGAGCAAGTGTGTAACTGAGGAGCTACCTGTTATTCAAAAGCCTTTTATCCCTATGGTTGTCCGAAAGAGGGTTCAAAGACCATCCAATAGTGCTCATGAACACATTGTGAAAGTAACATTGTGGAAGGTCTCCTGGAGAGACGGATGTAGGCAAGGCCCCTCCAATTGATTTTTCTCTTTTCTGCCTCTGCCACCTTCACAAGTGATGGAAAGCAACAAAAAGAGCTTACAACCTCTTTATAGACACCAGTGAGCAACTGGTACTTTCCATATAGCTAGCAGCTGGAAGGATCCAAAAGGGTACTTGAAGTGCCATGGGCCTAGAACACAGTCAAATTCGGTCATCAGCAGCACAGCCTGTCCCAGAAAGGGAGAGTGGTGCTTCCTTCTGAGCGGAGTATCCCTCCTTGTTCTTGGAGGTGGACATCCCATCCTGACAGCCAGCAGGCTCTAGTATTTGGTGGTGAAGGACTGGAACTCAAGGGTGCTGATCTCCCTCTCATTGGAGAACACAGCCTGGTCAATACGAGACATGGGACTTCCTACGCTGCGTAGCCAGTTCTTCCTACGGAGGAAAGGAACACAAGTTAACAACCCACCCATGCTACCCTCCTCTCTCTTTTAGTCCCACCTGTGCTCTCTGCATGGTCATAAAAGGAACATGGCTATTGACGGAACCAAAGGGTAATCAAATCTAGTGTGTACACACACACACACACACACAGAGAGAGAGAGAGAGAGAGAGAGAGAGAGAGAGTCTCTCTTTCTCTCGCTCTCTCTCTGCTAGAAAGAATGGGACTTTCCCATAGGCATCTAGTTGACTGCTATGAGAATTGAAGGCCTTTGGTTTGATCCTGCAGTACTTTTCTTATGTTCTTATGTTCATCTTTCTTATGTCTATTAGGTACACTAAATAAAGATTCAGGCAGAGCAAATGGCTCCAGCTGACACAAGAAACTAAGCCATGCCAGGGCAGATGAGGGGTAGATTCATGACACGGTGACTAGCCAATCTGGGCAGAATAAATTAATTTCCCACTCCAAATTTAGGGCTCAATCAGGCTCATATCCTGAACAGTTAGAGCAGGGACTTTTCGATAGTTGCCCCCAAACAGTGGAATCCTTTCCTCCTTGAGATTAGGCTAGTATGTTCTCTCTCTTTCCAAGGGGAATAAAGACCTTTCCAGTTTGGAGCATATTCCATAACTGTTTCCTCTTCTGTTTGCTCTTTTGCTTCCTTTAGCTGGTGATAGTTCTAAATTACATTAATTAGTATTTTACATTATTTTTATTACTGTTGCACTGTTAGTTTGAAATACTTCTAAAACCATTATGGTCGAAAAGCATAATATATACCAATGTCGTAGATAAATAATAATATGCTGGACAATGTCTATGAGGTATGTGGTGCTTTGCTGATTAAACTAAAAAGATAGGCCCCTGATCCAGTGAGCATTCGGTTTAAAGTAACTGCTTCCAGAGAGGTAGCTGCCTTAGTCTGTTGCAGTATGAAGAACACACAAATGCTTGCAGACTGAGGACTAATTTAGACTATTATTGCAAATAGGTTGTTTGGATATCACAAACAGGTGACTGGCAACAGCTTTTTTTTTTTTTTAAGCATCAGGATTTTCCAGGAAAGGGTAAATCCATATTAATGGGGGTGGGGGCATTTTCATGCCAACAACATCATGTGGACTCTACAAACAAAGAAAAAACACCCCATCATTGCATGCCTTTGAAATATCTATTCCACAACAAAACACCTTTCTAGAAACACTCAAAAAATCTGCTGGGAATTTTAACAGTTTTATTATGGGATAAGCTTTCCAGGCCTATGGTCATCTGACAAAGCAGACTCTAATCCACGAAGGTTTATGCGAAAATAAAACTGCTAGTCTTTAAGGCGCAACAAGAATCTATTTGTTTCGGTTTAAAATGTAAGCTGCCAATTGCCAATTTACCCAGCCTCTAATGGGAAATAGTTGCCCACATTTAGCAAAAAAATAATAAACATGTTTGTTTGTTTGTTTGTTTGTTTGTTTGTTTGTTTGTTTAGTCAGGAAGGAAGCATCTGAGGAACCTGGAGGAAAGCTTTTTCATCTTCAAAAAGTCCAAAGAACCCATGAATGAAGCTCTCCAGTTAACGAAAAAAGAAAGCTGTTCAAACACTGCCCACGCATGATAAACTTACTCAGCTGTTCTTCCATTTCAAAAACTGAAGTGAGTGCATATGGGGGGGGTACACGTGTGTGTGGGCGCTACAGATTCCCACCTGATCCCTAATTGAAAAGGGGTGGGGGCTCAATAGATGGCTGTACACTTTTGCTTTGTTATTCCCTGCCAGGATCTGAAAAAGAGAGAGCAGGAGGAGGAGAGAGTAAATGCGGGGTGGGGTGGGGTGGTGGAATACATGTTGCTATGGATTATCTCACTCCTGCTTATCTCCTGCAAGGGATGGAGTAGTATGGTTGCTATGGAAGCGGCCCCAATTTCCCCCTCCCCCCTCAAAGACATGAAGGTGGAAGAAATGGAGAAGCTGGTTGCTATGGAAACTGTCCCAGTTTCCTTGCATGTTCCCTCTCTCTATGTAACTTCAAGGTGATGGGGGGAAGACTTGTCGCTATAGAAACTGCCTCTGGTTGTCATCTCTCTGAAGGTGACAGAGCCCGTTGTTAGAGAAGCTGTCTCACCATCACCACAAACCCCCAGGGTCGCCCTGGGAGCGCACCATCCCTCTCCCCACCCCCTTCTCCACTCCCTTGCTCCACCCCCACCTCCACCCGCTGCTGCTGCTCACAAATTCATAAAGCAATTTTCTCCATCTCCTCCTGGACCAACTTCCTAATTGCAAGCTGACCCAAGTCCCAAATTTACAGGGTGTCAATTCACTGTTGAGGGAGAGTCTGGGGAGGTGCCCTATTTAGACACTTCAGATGGAGAGGGGAGGGAGGGGTGGAGTGGGATTGAAGGCTGTACAGATTGCCAATGCCAGGCTCTCTTCAGATAAGGATAATGGAAACCATTATTACAGGCCATTTATCCCTCTTCATCCCACCAGTTTTTCTCCAGATAAGAACCAGGGGTGCCATTTTGGAAGGCCAAGGGGGCAGTCACCCCCCCCTCCCATGTTTCAGATCACAGCAGCACCAACATCTCTGGATATTAGAAAGAATATACAAGTAACCATGACAATCACTTTTAAGATGAAATGCTCCCCCCTCGTTTCTTCCTTTGCAATTTAATTTTGAACATAACAAAGACCAGACTTTTGAACTTTGCTATAAATCTTGCCCTGTCTCTTTCAGTGGGGAGGGTTATTCACCTGAAGTGGTACATTAGTTCTGTATTCAGGCAGGGCACTAGATATTTAACAACAACAAAAGAGATGGCTAAGGAGAGACTCTGGTTAAGGGAGGAGTTTGCCTGACATCTATATACTACATGCCCAATGCCTTGTGCCTCACTCTGCTGAGTAACATTAAGTGTCAGTGTTGAAACAAAGATGTATGGGGCCAGTTGTGGTGGATTCAGGGTACTGTGTCTATGATCAAGTCCAACAACAGCCCTGTTGGACTTCTTGGATATTATGCGGAGCTCGTGTTCCAAGGTTTGTCTCCAATTTCAATCTTGTTAATGCCATGAACAAAGCAGATTCCGCATGATGCACGAAGTCGTGCCCCTCTCCCCCTCTCCTTCACCCTGACCTTTTCTAGTCAGTTAAGCAAATGAAGTGGTTCCCCTTTAACCCTTTATACTCTGCTTAGCTGGCACCACCCCTCACTCAATCCCCAAAATACAGGCCCTGAAGCTGCAAGTCAAAGTGCATAGTATCCAAGGCTGGCCAAGTTATTTTAGCACCCAATACAGAAAATCCCACAGGCACCTCTCCCAGGCAGTAAAAAAATACCGTATTTTGCACCCCATAGGACGCTCCGGCCCATAGGACGCACCTAGTTTTTTTTGGGGGGGGGATAAAGAAAAAAAATTATTTCCCCCCCAGGTGCGGGGCTGGAAGAACCAGGTCGGGGAACAGCGGGAAGGCGCACTCTGCCTCCCCACTGTCCCCCAAGCTTGTGGGGCTGGCGATGGGGAGAAGTGCGCTGATCCCAGGACTGCAGGCAGCTCTGCGCAGCCATCGGGAGCCGGGCGGGACTTTGCGCCCGGCTTCCGGTGGCCGCGCAGAGCTGCGCTGAGCCCGGGACTGCAGGCAGCTCTGCGCAGCCATCGGGAGTGAGGCGGGACTTCGCGCCTGCTCCCGATGGCCGCGCAGAGCTGCGCCGAGCCCGGGACTGCAGGCAGTTCTGCGCAGCCATTGGGAGCCGGGCGGGACTTCGTGCCCGGCTCCCGGTGGCCGCGCAGAGCTGCGCCGAGCCCGGGACTGCAGGCAGTTCTGCGCAGCCATTGGGAGCCGGGCGGGACTTCGTGCCCGGCTCCTGGTGGCCGCGCAGAGCTGCGCCGAGCCCGGGACTGCAGGCAGCTCTGCGCAGCCATCGGGAGCGAGGCGGGACTTCGCACCTGCTCCCGATGGCCGTGCAGAGCTGCGCCGAGCCCGGGACTGCAGGCAGCTCTGCGCAGCCATCGGGAGCGGGGCGGGACTTCGCGCCCGGCTCCCGGTGGCCGCGCAGAGCTGCGCCGAGCCCGGGACTGCAGGCAGCTCTGCGCAGCCATCGGGAGCGGGGCGGGACTTCGCACCCGGCTCCCGGTGGCCGCGCAGAGCTGCGCTGAGCCCGGGACTGCAGGCAGCTCTGCGCAACCCTCGGAGCCAGTCTCCCGAGGGATGCGCAGAGCTTCCTGAAGCCTGCATTCGCCCCATAGGACGCACACACATTTCCCCTTCATTTTTGGAGGGGGAAAAGTGCGTCCTATAGGGCGAAAAATACGGTATATAGCAACAATATATTAAATAACTAATAATTTGCAGCCCTTTCATAACAAACCAAATTAGCTGCCTAATTGTAAGGTTAGCCCTTCCCTCAGCCACTGCTGAAGGAGCCCAGTTCACATACTTACATGATCTCCACTTTCTCCTTGGGCCCTTGCACTTGTCCGGTCACTGTCCCGTGGGCAGTGTTCTTCACCCAGCCAACCACTCCCAACTTCCTCCCCTGCTCTTCTGTGTACTGGTGAAAAAAGCCAGAAAAATAGTGGTCAGGGAAGCTTGCAAGGCTGATTCTCAATGGCACATACATTGCTCAGTCTCTTCATTTGATGACTGGTGGCTGAATGAGTGAGCAGCCTTCATTGAGTTTTGTGATTATGCCAGGTGACATGGAAGCTCAGTCAGTGGTATATGCTCTGTGAGGTCTCTTTTCAGATGGACAAATGTTTTCATTCCTGGAAATGTTGATAGCGCAAAGTGAACAAAGAAGTATAATTAGGGTTCTGCTTCATTTCCCCATAGCATATGTGCATAGTACCTGTGGAATTATTATTGTTCTTTTATGCACTGTGACTTGCCGTTGTTTTATTGATTATAGTTTAGAAATTAATTATAATTGTTAAGAGTGGATTTCTGTTTAATTTTTATATGTTGACAGTTAATATTATTCTATACTATTCCAATGGATTGTTGAATATTACTTTATTTGATATAAGTTGCTTATTTTAAAGTTATGTTTTATTATCACATTTTCGTATTGAATTAGATTGTTATAAGGTGTACATTCTTTGTATCTTCAGCTTGTAAACCACCTTGGGTATTGTAAAATAGAAAGACGGTATACAAGTTAAAAGTGAAATAAAAAATATGAAAAGAAATAATATCTCTGCCTGTTTGTACCCTGGTGGGAACAAAACCAACAGTACTACTATGGCAAAACCAAGCAGCCCGCAACATCAACAGCAATGAAATATTTCTCTTTTCCTACAGAGATTTCTAAGGCCCTAATTGCCTCCCAGTCTTGACATCTCATTGGCTGGAAGAGGTATATAAACCTCCTAGGTTCACACTGACATGGATGCTTGCTACTAGCAAGTCAGAAGTCAGACTGCTTTGTTCTTTACAGTTTAGTTTGCTTGAGTTTGCTTCCAAATGCCATACTCTCCTCTCTGCTCCTATGGGCAGCTTCTCTGGGTATCCATTACCCTACACTAGACTTGGACCTGTATAAGGAGGAGTACAAGCTTGGGAAGCTGGCTTGAGAAGTGCTCTCTCCAGCTATTCCAGTAAAGTACCGTCCAAGTAGAAACATCAGCCTTTGCAGTCTTAGTTTGCTAAGTGCTACAATTTGGCTATGTGCTGTAGAATGCCTCACCACATCTCACATGCAGATATATCCTACCTTTCTAAAGAAGACACCTAGAAGATGAAAGAAAGAGAAGTCAGTCAGCGATCACATTCATAACAAGTATCAACAATCAAAGTCCTATAGCTACATATTTAGTGTTTCTATAGTCCAGTCTTCTGTTCCCTCCAGTAGTGATTGTGTCCCATCTAGTCCAGCATCCTGTTCTCACAGTGGGCAGCCAGATATCTAGCAGGACAGCAGCACTCCTCATGGCACACCTCCTTAATGAACAGGCTGTGTTACATTGTCTCTCTCTTCCCAATCAAGCCATGTGGCTTCAACTACCAACAATGTGTTGAAATTTTAGGGATTTTGGAAAGGGAACTCCTAGGACACACACAAGTATTTATCACACCTGCAAGTATACAATTGCTAACTGGCCTATGCTTCCATATGATCTAGTGACACACCTGTGAGGGACTGGTCCCTCACTCTGAAGGAAAGCAGATTTTGTAATTAGCATAATCTTAATATATATTGCCTTAATATAGATTTTGGAATTCTTCTCTTCTTCTTTAACCCCCCCCCCCCAATTCTAATAAATTGGTGTTTGCTTGTTTTTTAAAATGCTTGATTATATGATATGATAACATTTGAATGGTCGGTTGCCCACAATTTTTTTCACCGGTCAAATACTGACTTTCATTCTGGACTTAATACTTTCTCATTAGTGGTGATTATGCTTTTGCCTTCAGCAAGCTGTGTTCCAATCTTTATGCCTGATTTCCCCAGCTTTTCCTCCTGATATTTATGTATTAGTTTATTCCCTATTACACTTCTATCCCACTTTTCTTCCAGGATGCTCAAGGCAGCACACGTCCTTCACCACCTCACAGCCCTGGAAAGGTTAAGAGAGTGCCTGGCCCAAGGTTATTCAATGAGCTTCATGGCTGAGTAGGGTTTGAACATGGGCCTCCCTGATTCTTCCCCAACGTGCTAACTCTAGCTCTCAAAACGTATATGTTTTATTTGTTTTAGTGGTAAGTTGTCATTTTTTATTACTGAAAAGTATATCTTGTTGTGTCAATCCATCACATCCTAATCTGCACCTTCTTGTTCCTAACTGTTGTACCTGCCACCTGAATCTCCCTGTCCTATCATTTACCCATGAAATCATGACCCACTTGGCAGTTAATGGAGTGCCTTCAATCTGAAACTTTGCTCATATCACCTCTGTAGCCTTAGTTCCCCCTTAGTTCCCTGACCCACCCCCCAGCACCTTTGTTTGCCTACGTCCTTTCTCTCAACAGCACACATCTCTTTTTGGTGTGTCCCACGTGAAGTTAACTCCATTCAAAATCATCTTCCCTTATTGAAGCTGCATTCTTTTTTAGCATACTGTACATGTTCAATTTGAGCAGTCAGATCCTGCAAGGATATTGTTGAACATTCCATTAAATCACAGTAGCTCAGCTAATAGCTAGCGCCTAGAGGTAACATGATTTTTTTGCCCATTGTATGACCGATAATGTGAAAGTAGCTCTAGCCTGCACTTCAAAGGTCTGACAGTCTAAAAGGCAAACCTACCACATCCTGTCACTAAGACCTAAGTGACAAAGGATGCAGCAGAAGAACCCAAATTTCTTCCTTTTTGCCACAGAAACAGCTCTTTCGAGTTCTCAATTCTGTACTATGGTGGCTTAGGCTATGCTGCATCCTGAATGTTACAGATCACGTTACAAAATTGCTATTTTTTAAATAGAGTGGGGTGGGGGAGTGGATTAAATCAAGTAAATGAGGTTGAATCAAGGATGCTCAGCCTCCCTCCCTGTAATGGCCCAGATCTCCACACCGCAAAGATACAGCACCTTCCTACTGTGCTCTAGGATATGCAGATCCAACACCCAATTGCATTAATGTTCCCAATTAGTCTCCTCCATATACACCCCGTGTGTATTAGCTTCAATTAACTTCCTCTGGAGTCCTTGCGGACTGTCATTCTAGCTGCACAGCAGCTCCAGCCAACCTAGCTGCAGTTAGAGCCGAATAAAGATTCTGCAGTTGGAGGAGAGGGCTCTGCTGCTAGCATCTTATTTCAAGGGCTATACTATTTGCAGCATGAGCCGCAGGGGAACTGAGCAACCATCTCCATAGCCCATGCACAAAAATCCCACCCAGAGCAGCACAATAGCAGTACAAGGGGTGGGGGAAACTAAACGGACTCACCCTGGACTTCCCCATAAACCTCATAGTCGATTGCCCAGAGGACAGAAGCAGCCATGGTTCAGTGCAGGCCACGGGCAGTGGTTAGGAGCTTCCACAGAGACGGAGAGGGGTGTGCTATTCGATCTGCTTCACACTGCAGTCAGTTTGGCCAGCCTGTGTTACTAAATTCAGCCGCAGAGAACCAGGGGATGTAGCCTACCTGGAAAAAAGAAACAGGAAGAGAATCTCTCTCATCTTTCAGCCAGACAGGTACATAGAATCCTCAAGCCCATAGCAAAAGGGTTGTGGGGGGACAGAGAGGGTTAAAATCTGAAGCATAAATCAGGTCCTCAACTCTCCTCTCCTAGGTGTGACCTAATGTGAAGGAACCTGATCTCGTGTTACAATTGGCTGCTGTACCTACAGGTGACATTTACTGTGCAAGCAGAGTTAGGAATACCTCCAGTGCCTAACGTTTTATTCAAACACCTAGGATTTTGACATTTTTTTCAACCCTGCCTGCAAGGTTGCCTTGCTCCAGTGCATACCAGTAATCCATAGGACAAAAATAACAACATTAGGGAGGCAGAAGGACAACAATCTAGCCTGCTTCCGACTAGTATTGTAGTATTCTGCAGTAGATGCATTTTTTTAAAATGCTAATGAAAATTCATAAGCAAATTTCTCCTTACATATTTTTATATGAGATTTTGTCTGATTTACACATTTTTCAAGCAATTTTCCCTAACACAATGCATTTTATATACTATTTTCACTACTATATATTTTTTTGTACACATTTTCCCCTGAAGTATGCATTTGACATGTATTATTTTATTGTAGAACTGCACCACAAGATTTGGATTTTGAAGGATAGCTGTGTTTTGGTTTGCATATTGTTTTGGAAAGTGCAAATTAGGTAAGGTGAAGGTAAAGGGACCCCTGACCATTAGGTCCAGTTGTGACCGACTCTGGGGTTGCGGTGCTCATCTCGCTTTATTGGCTGAGGGAGCCAGCATACAGCTTCCAGGTCATGGGGCCAGCACGGAAACGCCGTTTACCTTCCCACCAGAGCGGTACCTATTTATCTACTTGCACTTTGACGTGCTTTCGAACTGCTAAGTAGCTGGGACCGAGCAACGGGCGCTCACCCCGTTGCGGGGATTCGAACCGCCAACCTTCTGATCAGCAAGTCCTAGGCTCTGGGGTTTAACCCACAGCGCCACCCGCATCCCACACAAATTAGATAGGTTTGCAATAAAATAAAACTGAACCAGATTAGTACCCATCCATAACTGTAGCCCATGGTACATTAACAAAAAAAAAACAGAACACACAGAAAAACAGAACATGCCATGCCAAACTGAACCCCCATGGAAATGTTTGGCTGTTTCACAAAGGGCTGCCACATCAAAATGCAAAATAGAAGTGAGACTCAGGATCTATTTCTATGCATTATGAAAGAATAAAAGGGGGGGAAATGCCAGGCTTCTTTAGGCCACACTTGAACCGTCTTCTTTTCCTGCTGCTTTGACATAGCAGGAAGGGTAAATAACCAATTTGAGGTGCTTTATAGTTTACTGTATACCATAAGATGTAATGATGAGACACAGCAAAACCCCAGGGGGCAACACTGCTTCTGAAACTCAGAGACCTTGGAGGGCTGCTGTCAAAGTAAACATTACTGCTCTCAACAGACAATTAACCTGACCTGGTATAAGGCATTTTATTATATTCCTATTTAGGATTCACATAGCACATATTATGTGTTCAGGGCTTATTTTCTGCAATGTTTTGGGATTATGTATGATCCAGCCCATTGTTTCTTCCTTTTTCTTCCTGTTTCTAGCCCTCTGGAAGAATGCTGCAATTAACAGGGTCAACCCAATACATTTTAATTGTCTATCTCAGGCACCTGCACCTGCACAATCCAAACGCCTTCTTCCCAGATTCCTTGCATTGTTACAGGGAACAATGGGTGCAGCACCTGGTTGGCATGTGTGATCATGTGGTACAGATGACACTAACAGCTTCACAGGTGATTTGTGTGCTCATGTCAGCCTTGGAAGTCAGATATTACCCTTTTTTCTTGTTCTTTTTAAAATTAGGAATCCCAAATGCCATAGTTACAGACAGAAGCCATCTGCCTGCCCTAAACTAATGCATTTGAGATTCCCTCTCCGTGATGCAGTGGTTAATCTTGAAGTGTAGGAGCTCATCATGACAGCCCCCATAACCAAACCTCCAAGGAGTGCTACAAAATGCAGACAGCTGTGTTGATCCCAAATGCATGCATACACAGACATCAAGGAGCAGAAGTACACGCTCAATGAATATCTAATGCATGAAGATCAGCATGACTGCAATCCTATCCATAGTTTATTGGAAGTAAATATCACTGACCTCAGTGGTGCTTACTTCAGACTGCATAGGCTCAGCTTGTAAAGCACACAGAGATCTTCAGCCAGCTGAATTGCAGCCTTTAGCTTTTACTTAGAAATGCAAATAACCTTGCAAAGAATTGTTGCCATTTAAACTACTAGTATGAATTAGGAACCCCATCTAAGAAAAGGAGAGACGTATCCAACCTCTGCTTGATCATTTCCCTCATTCTCTGACTTCCTTAGTTTCAAACAAACTTGAAAGATGCATTCACTTTCCAGGTGCTTCAGCATACAACTCCATTACTTCTGACCTGAAAAAAAAAAGTCCTGGAGTTCTGCCACCCTTCCTTCCAGCACACCACTATCAATGACCCTCACTGCCTCATTTTGTTTCCTCCACAAGGTTTGGAAAAAAATACCCACTTTTCCCCTTCGATGCCAGGAACCCTATGTTTCAACCCACACAAGTTTGACCTCAAACTCCTTACCTTGCCATTTGAAGGGGCGTGAGTGGGCACCATAATGTGCTAGCTTTAGGGGTGGAAAAAAGGAGATCAAAGAAGGTTGGCAAGGAAACCAATGTCTGTACACCCAGTAATTTGAATAATGGGAATGTGGTAGGAGTGGGTAGGTGTGTTTAGCTGGGGTGCCCAAACTTTTTTCAAAGAGGGCCAGATTTGATGAAGTGAACATGCGTGAGGGCCGACCAAAGTTGTTGAGCTTTTTTTTTACTATTTTACCCCAAATTAGGCCCCCAAAACGGACTTTGGGGGAAACTGAAATGTGAGTTTGGAGATGAGGTTAAAAGTGGCTGTGTAGTAAGAGAGACAGAGGACTGCTTCGATGAGCACAGACCCAGCAATCTGGAAATTGTATATAGGAAGACAGCCCGCTGGTGCAGAGGTTAAAATGTTGGGCTAGGTTAGAATGCTGGACTTGGACCCAAGAAAGACTGCATTTCAAATCCCCACTTGGCCATGAAGCTCACAGGGTGACCTTGGGCCAGTCGCTCGGTCTCAGCCTAACCTACCTCAAAGGGCTGTTGTGGGGATTAATTGAGGGGAACCAGGTAGGATGCCTTGAGCTCCTTGGAGAGAAAGGTGGGATATAAATGCAATATGGAGTGGGTGTTACTGAGATTGCTGGATCTGATGAGCTCCTGGGTGGGGGTGTCAGTCAATTATTTTGAGGACAAAGCGTCTTTAAAGATATGGGGGGGGGATATCTGTTGAAGTCCCTTTTAACCAGGGTTTTGATTGATTGGATTGACATCCTACGTCCTTTTAAAATGTGGGGTGTTTTTTTGGTGGTGGTGGTGTGTTATTGGGTTGTTGTTTTTATTTTGATTATATATTTTATGGTTTTTACCAGCATGAGTTTGACCAAACTGCGGGAGGCAGTGGAAGACAGGAGTGCCTAGCGTGCTCTGGTCCATGGGGTCACAAAGAGTCAGACACGACTAAACAACAACAACAACATTTTGATTTTGTTCTGTGAACTGCCCTGAGACCTCTGGGTATAGGGCAGTATATAAATTCAATAATATATAATATAAGGCTAGAGGTGGAACTAAAAGTGTGTTGCTGGAGTGGGGGGCGGGGGGGAAATGTTCCTGAGAGAGACATAAAATGGAGATACTGTAATTATAACCGGGGAGCGTCACCTAAACTTAGCAATATCGAAGGACTGATCGATATAGTTACAGAAATAGTGAGGGTTGAAAGCGAGTGGACGTGAAGGGTCAGTAAAGACTAATCATCATTACTATCATCATCGTTATTGTACCTGGAGGAGGAGGATGGGGGGTGTGTGAGGGAGAAAGGGGGTTTGAAGAGGGAGAAGGAACGGGTCTGGCTCTTGACTGAAAGAGGGAGGAGCCGGGGACGCGTTTGGCGAGGGCGCGCTTTCCTGTCCCCGAGTGGGGGGGAGGGAGGGATGGTGTCCAATTTTGCGCGGGGAAAAGAGACGGCCGCGCGCCTAGCCATGGGGGACGTGGCGTTGGCAACTCGCACGGTGAGCGCGCGCCCCCTGGGATGGGGCGGGAAGGCGTTTCATGTGGTTGAAATGTGTGATAGATTCAAGTGAAAAAGGAAGGGGGGGGTTGACAGTAGTGAGCTATGAGGGGGCTAATTTTAACACACACTTACTCTCTCTGCCTTGCTAATTAACCCCCTCATAGCTCACAACTATAATAAGTATCACAAACACAGCCTCCAGATGTGTCAGGATGAGGATGGGGAGGTTGTTGAGGGTGCTGGGAACCAAGGAGGAGCAGGTGGGTTTGTAGCTGTGAGGGGGTGTTGGGAACGGGGGTGGGGGGTGGGGAATGGGAGGCCTGGCCTGAGGTACGAAGAAAAGGTGGCAAGCTGATAACATTGGGAGCAACAACCTGACCTAAATTTTTGAGGTCAACTTGTGGCAGCTTGTGTGAGGGAAGGCAGAGGAAAGAACTGTGGAAGAAGGGGGTAGAAGTTTGGGGTCAGGGGTTTTCCTTGTTTGTTGAAATGTACATAACAGGCTTTCCCCACAGATCTGTGAGGTAGAAAAAGAAAAGCAAACATCACATCGTTTCAGGGATACTGTATACTGCATGGATAGGCACCAGGACTAAATAACAATGGAAACTATCCAGTTCCCTAAATTTCTGGCTGAAATCCACACCATACATTTAAAGCTTATCTGGTGCACATTTAAAGCACATGACTTTTTCCAAAGAAGGGCTTGGATTTAACTTTAACTTCATTTAATGTCTCAATTTCCCTTTCTGTAAAGTCTGGGTAGTATAACCTACATGGCCAAAGTGTTCTAGTGCTGAAGCCCAAAACAGATAATCTGA